GAAAAATAAATCTGTTCTTTTTTTCTTATAAAAGTCTAAATAAAGCTAAAATATTGGTGGTAATTTTTGATTGTGTAACTTTACGAACGGCACCCCATACAGAGCAGTAGCTATAATTAGCAAAAATAAAAAACAAATTTTAAATGAGCAAAACAGTAAAATGAAATACTCAAGATAAAATAAGGAAACAAAGATTAAAATTAGAAAACCAGACTAAAAGATGCAAAAACTAAAATCAGCTAATTTTAGCCAAAAAGTAAGATGATAGTTAAATGCTTGAAAGTGCCTAACAGTGACTAAAAGCATAAAAACTGTAGCTAAAAATGGCAAAAGAGGACAAAACAGCAAGTAGCTAAAGCAGATTTTAAAGGGAATAAAGTTTTGATGGAATTGAAATATCTTAGTGAATTTAGGGCAAATATTATTTTAAATTGTTAAATGTTTTTAAAAGTACACACTACAAACAACAAAAGTCAAAGCACGCTATTCTTAATTGAGCCACAGGTATATTAAACTATTATGATAAAAAATGTACAGAATAAATTATAAATAGAAAAACAAAAGTGTGGAAGCTGACTCAGTAATAACCGTCAATAACCATAACCCATAAATGTTTGTAGACTAATCCTACTGTACCTCCACTGAATAAATGTGAGTTAAAATGTTAAACCCATTACATAAAGCTCTTTGATCTTTTGTGTCTGAAGTGACATGATATTCTCACCAATTTTAAAACCCACTTTTTTAAAACAACACAGAGCAGTGAAGCATAAGCCAACAGCTTATTGTTATGCTTTTAGTTTTCATAACCATTAACATCTTGTAAAATAAATATTTTAGTAAAAAGTCAGCCTTTAACTGAAAAAACATGAGCAGTTTATTGTTTGCTAAAAAGATACTGCGCACATATTTCTCTTTGGGCGGTACTTCAGCCGAGGCGACGGTTTTACTGATGCTCTGGAGCTGAAAGAAGTGAGAGAAAACTTGTTCAATTTGCTCAATTGTTTTGTTGTACAACTTCAAAATAAACTGAAACAAAATAATTAAAAAAGAAACACATACATTTGTAGAATTTTTAAATTTGAGTTGAAAATTATCCTTAAAACCAGTGGTTCCCAACCTTTTTAGACCTGTGTACTCCCAGAGCCATTTTGTCATACCCCTAGTACCCCCTCAGTCAAACGTAATGATTCTTCAAAACTATAATGTACAACTGGTTATTAAATGAAAATGATTTATTTAACCCCTAGAATGTTTAGTTCACACACACATTTTATTTTTTCAAAGGTAAAAGATAATGATAAAAACATTACATTGAAAGTGAATAAGTAATTAAATAAATAAACCAGGTAACTGCAGATGCAGGAAGCAGCAGCATCCAAAACACATCAGAAACTCAATCAAATGAGTAAATTCTTTGTGTCAAATCTGTGATTTCTGCATTTCACTTTTCTGATGTACAGCTTAAATGTTTCAAAAGCCTTGTTTAATCTAAATAAACGTAAGTAAAATTTAACCATCGACTTACCTGTTGCTTACTGAACTGTTCTTTCTCCGCAGCCAAAGCCTTTTCAGTCTTATTTTCATTTTTAGTCTTTGATTTGCTCATGGTTTCCTTAAAACTCAAAACGATTTTACCCCAGGATCCAGCTTTAAAAAAAAAAAAAAGATCCTCAAGGTGCAGCTCTCCTTGTTCAACTTGGTTTTCACTTGTCACAGCAGCCGTCAACAAAACAAACAAAAGTCTTCTCCTGGGTGTAAAAAGTCACCACAAAAGTAGATAAATGTATGGCAGGAAGTAAAACGCCACTTGTATTACAGATAAATACTTTATCAAAAAGTGGCAAGATCTGTAGAGACCGGAGAAGMTTGTGTGAGTCAGGAGGTGAATGTGAGGCAGTGAAACAGGAAAAACTATGAAAAGCCACGCCACCCGTCAACCCTGTACAACTAGTTTCACCCACCCAACACAATACTCTCATTAAAACAGCTTTGAATGCAAAATATGTTTACGTAGATGAAACTGAAACATTTCAATTATGAAACTGGAGACATTTTTCGCAAACAAGATTTGAAAACATCAGACAGTTTGTGTTTTCATCAATTCATCCACTTTACTGCGAGCTTATACCCGTCCTTTTTTAAGTAATACTAACTGATTCATGTGCATCATAATTCAGGATTCTGGTTCACTTTGTTATGCACTCTAAAAATGAAATGTTGGATTTACTTAACCATGTTATGTGACCTGGTTCCACTTAACTGGGTTGAGTAAATTCAAAGCAACATGCTCATGTTCTTTGGCTAAAAAACTGGTATATTGCTTTGAATTTACTCAACTTAGTTAAGTGGAACCAGGTCACATAACATGGTTAAGTAAATCCAACATTTCATTTTTTACAGTGTGGTCATCGAAGCTGAAGGTGATTCATGTTTTTGTCTACACGTTTGCTTGTCTGTCTGTCTGTTAGCAAAAGCTCATGAGCCACTGGATGGATTTTAACAAAACTCTAAGAAAATGTTCGTTGCATGTAAATCTGGGTGAACAGATCAACTTTTGCACACAACCATCAAGACGACCACCGCAAAAATAAAACTTAGCAAATACAAAAAGTCATTCCTAACACATACTCTGAGTTTTTACAAACCATGCATCATGTCATTTACAGMGTTTGAATAAAAACTAACTCCACACAAGATGATCTTTGTCTAAAGCTCTGACATGACTAGACATTTAATTATATACAGACACCTTCAGTGAGGAAATTCTGTCAAATCTTTGTATCTCTGGGAGGCTGGGGTATCTGCGTGGCAGGTGCACAGGGGGGACAAAACCCATGGTCGTAACACACCCAAACTTAAAGCAGGAACACTTCACACATTTCATGCCCAACCCCAGTGATTACAATGAAGAGACAACAGACCCAAATTCATGAAGCTCGTACCTTCAATGTGGAAGTATTCAAGTTGGGTGCTGATGGGTTTTCTGGCACTCGTGCTCATGGGTTCAGCACTGGTAGAACAGGACCAGGATGCAGTAAAGATCTGAAGTTCTCAGAGGGTGCCATGAGCAGCTTGGATTCATCTAACAGCAGCTGCAGAGAGAGAACATCTGGAAACATGATCACTACCCTGATATTAAATAGGAATGCGCGATATAAACGATATACGGTAGAAACTATATAAATTTGTCCTATGATAGAGATRTGTGGTCCACTGGCCAACAGCGCAATTCTTTTTGATGATGCAACCAGCTYGAGTCAAAACAGAGGAAGCGGGAAGCAGCGTGGCTGAGAGTGCAAATGAAGAGGGAAAAAAAATTATTCGGACCTCGGGTGTGCGAAAATGAACGCCCAACTATTTACATCAGGGGTGCCCAAACATTTTCCCTGAGAGGGCCAAAACTGAAAAACATTTTTCCTGACAGGGCCAAAATTAAAATCAATCTGAGGGCCGCGGGCCAAATGCAATAAATAATACAAGAAATGCTTAATACTTAAGTAAAGTTGTTTTATTTTTTATGATTAAGCTAGCAGCCAGTGTGGTTGGGCA